TTGTGTGAGGCGAAATTGCTTATTGTGTGCATTATTGAACGAGATTTGCTTCCAATTGTAAATCCGGCTTTTTTCTGGTCAGTAGTACTTTAATTGGAAGTTTTTAATAATAACAGAAAAGTTAATGAATGTTTTTCTGTGTTCGGCATGTGGAAATTCTGAGAATATTTTTTAACAGTTGATTTGCTGATCAATGTTTGACAGTGGGCTTCAACTCACCCGTTAGTTTGCTTTTCTTCGTCGTCTCGTCACCAGAGCTACGGTATATTATAATAATAATAACGGTATATAACAATAATAACATTTTAACTTTTTAAGAAGATAAAATTTGAAAGGGCGTGTGTTCGCTTGCGGGAAACACAAGGGCAAGAGGGTAACATCCGAGTAGGTCCGAGTGCTCGCATTGCAGCAGGTGCGACGATAACATCGACGGCCACTTATCTCCCATGCCAAAGGTCAGTCAGGCGATTGAAACATGGCGACCTCCTGCTTCTCAGACTTCCTACTATAAATACATGTATATGTTTATTTCTGCCCAGTTCCATCCACAGGGAGATGTCAGGCGTTCTGAAAAATGTCAATAAACACAGTAAGTGTTAGTATCAATTCTTTAACCTCGCTTTCTAACCCTCTGGGCCTATAGCATATTTCGATAGTTTCAAGTTATGTATATCGTCGCTAACACCGTCGATCATCGACATTTTGCAACATGGAGCAAAGGGGAAGTTTACATACACCTATTCACTTAGGTTAAGGTCACTCGCCCTGTTATCTTTCTTCATTTGTATAGATAGCATTGTCACACCATAATTCAAAGGGCACTTACTTGCACAGCTCGTTTGTTGGTGGAACCTTTTTAGTTCAAATTCGGTTTAACATTACATCTAAGAACAAATATATGCTTTTCTTGGATTAAATAATTCCCTACTTCGATCGTAAAAAGTATATGTATAGAAATATAGTATATTATTAAATGTCTTTTATCGAAGTTAAACGTTAAAGTCCGTAAAACAACATAAGATAGGTATATCAGAAAAATTTTCAAACTGATCAGAAAATTAAAATACTTATATCATCTGAAAGGTAATGCAAAAACCGGATGAAATCATTTGGAATTTTTTAAATATTCCTACAAGCAACAAAGATATGGAAGTTTTTTAACTGCAAAAATCCACCAAAAGTGTCCACACTTCTCAGCTCAAAACCTGTGCCCACTGACCAGCAGTGATCACTCAGGCGCAGCAGAGCACCCTGTGTGTCTTTGTGTGCTCAGCCTATTGTCTGGCTCACATAGCCTGTGACTAATCAGGGCAGAGCTATTTCCCTGTGGTAATTTTCACATCATGTAATATTGCGGATTAAATTAACTATACTTCGCAACCTTCAAATTTCATGATTTTTCTACATAATATAGCAAATTTCATAAACTTTGCTGGATATAAATTTCAAAAAGATGATACCAGCACTTACCTGAAATTTTTTAGCATTTTGTAGAGGCAAAACTTAAAACAAGCAGAACCGAAANTGTGTGAGAGGCGGAGAGACTATTAAAAGATTAGGTGGTTTTTCTTTCATGTAGGACCGCCATATTTAGTCCCCAGGATTTGTAAAGCCTGGCTCAACTCGTTGTGAATGCGATCTTAGTCATGTTTTGGGTCAGTAAAATGCCTTCTGAAAATATAGGTTTCAGTTCCACTTTCAATTTTACTGGATTTGTATTCCATGGACAGGGTACTACCACCACAGACATTTATACTCAGACTGGCCTTTATTTTAATGTTTATCTCATTTATTTCTAATATGAAAATGTATATTAATATTATGCAGTTCAAACAGGTGCCATTTTACCACATTCTGTATACAAATGCTATTGTCTTAGAATGATATTATCATAACATGCTGTTGTATTTTACCTTTCAGAGATTGGTACAAACTCTCTCTCTATTTAACAACTTTTTTCTCTCTTTATCTAATATACACAAGCACAAGATTGGATTTATTCTTTTATAAGTGATTTATAGAAATTATTTTTTTAATGAATTACTTAAAAATAGAGTTTATTTACTAGAAAGCTTCCTACAGGTGGCCTCCCACATCAGTACATTATCAAACAGACTTCTAGAGAGAGTTAATAACAAAACTGAATCATGGAATTTAAACTTTCTGAACTATACAGTTGAGGTATGGAGTGACATATCTGGTTGTCAGTTACATCACATATATGATGGCTTAATTAACAAAATAAAATCAGCTTTCTGAATAGAATAAAATAAGTTATTTTTAAAGAATGTACTAGTAGACCTTTCTGAGTGTCTGTTTCATTCCCAAATATAAAAGACCACCCAATGTATAAAATTTGATAAAATATGTCAGTAATTTACCCCAGTTGTAGCTATTATTTAATCTCAATAATACTTGTACTATTACCTTGGTGTCCATGGAAAAGATATTTATTATTTAATCTGATTGTTGTCTAGTACCTCATCTGCACTAGGTTTTATAGATAAGTTTTATCTCCCTGTAATTTTATATCTAGCCTCTGATAAAGTGTGTTATGATGCATTCATGTCATGTAGTGTAACTATTAAGTAAAGCTTTAATAAGTAAGAAATAGAAAAAACAAAGTATTGAAGAAAACTGCACTTCTTAACTGGTTAGTGAAGTTCAGGAATGGTTTGAAAGAAGATGTGAAAGAAACTTAGGACATGATAATTATAATTATAGTTTTGTGATAAAAAATACTTGTGACTTGACGGAAAAAGGGAACAAATTTCTTTTTGATGTTTTTACAGGATATTATTATTATTGCAGTTTAATTAGTTTCACAATTTTTTTACATTTAAATTCATGGTTAGTAGTATGTTATATTGTTATCATTTTGTGTAATTGTCTTTTTCTTTGTACAAATTGATATAAAGTCAAGAAAGGGTTCTATTTTCTTTAAAGCAAGGCCACCGCCCCCTTTTCGCTCAGTTGATACTGAAATCTGTTTGCTTGATAAATGTGCTTACACTGACAGGACAGTCCCTCTCAATATCACCTTTCCTTTGCAAGCTGTGTCTTAAAGACAGAAATTAATAAAAGTTAGTCAATTTTTATTCTCATTCTCATGCCCGTTATGGGCAAGGTACATTGCCAACTTTGGAAATTGGATTTTGCTTGCTGTCAGGTGAGAGCAGTAGACCTATCTTCAGTGTGAATATACCTCGTGACCATGTGGTATGTCATAATAATATCATTGTGTAAACAGTGATCCAGGTCATCAGGAAAATTAACGGTCTATTTAGGACACCATGTCACACCAAGTTACCTTTGAGTGATGAGTTCACAGTCAGGAGACTGGTTGAAGTGACTTGTTTCTTCGTGGTGAAAATTCTTAAGGTTTTTCAAAATTATAGTTCCTGAAAACTGACAGTACTTGCACTGCATTTTCTGCCACAATGGGCTTCATGACATCAATCCATGCCGTAGTCACAAAAGGATTCATTTACATATTTTGTGTACCTGGTTTTAAAGAAGTCTGATGTCTTTAATCATTTGTAATAAGGACATTTTTTGTCATCACACTGGACAGAAGCCTGCTAGTTGAAGGATTGATTTGTAGACCAGATGGACAATTGAAATAATGTCTTATTGGAAGAAGACACAGGAATCCAGTTTTATCAGAGGCAATATATATAATGTAAGGATATATAGTAAAATTTTATAATCAGCACTGCGCAGATGTAGACCTGCAAGATATCATGGTTTTTAATTATATATATATATATATATATATATATATATATATATATATATATATATACACACACACACACACTCAAACACACACACACAAACACACGCACACATGCACACACACACACACTAGTAATTAAGAACAAACTTAGAATGTATTTCCCCATTGATAATTTTAGCAGCATTATTAGGGAAATTAACAAGTCAAACAGTAAACAAGGGTTACAGTACAATCAAGTCATACAGCTGTTTTTTTTTTTTTCTTTTTTGTAAGTCGTTTAATATTAAATTTTGATAATGTCAGCTTTAAGGTGTTCTTCAAAAATCATTTCTAGTATAGTACATGATCAGTTGTTTTGTTTTAGAATTATGTTTTTAGATAAGGCATTTATATCTTATTATCCAGAGTTATGTTGGCCTAAATGTCACAAGAGAAATATTTGTTTATGGAGGGAACTATTTACATATGATTATTTTAACGGGGTTAACATTGAATTGACTGGGGTGTGAAACCAGACATCTTTTTAAAATTTGAAATTAGGGTAGAGTTGTCTAAAAAGCAGTTATTGTACTGACAGCATCTACCTCAACTTATGTATGCTTTACCATTTCATATCCAAAATTGCAACATTGCCTCCCCACACACACACGCACACATGAAGGAATTTTGTTTGTAATTTTTTTCTCTTATTTGTAAGTGTAGCCAGTAGGCCTTTCACATTTTTATATAGGTAGAATGGGGTGTTAGTAACTTTGATTTTAAATTTATTAGTACTAGTATTAGTAGCTTTATTTTGACATCTCAGCGAGATTGTATCAAATGATCAGATTGAAATTCAGTCAGAGAATGATGTCTATATACAATTATGAAAAAGTTCATACTTGTAATTGCATCTTGAGTAGATGCAATTTTCTTTGAGCACAATTTCATAAATTTTACTATCTTTTGTGCAATTACATATTAAAAGTGAGTTTATTCCTTTTTTTTTTTTTGGTTTCATTGTGAACAGACCTCTAGGCCACATTTTTATCAGGTACATTCAAATTTTCCACACTTGCTTGGTTTTCCACAAAGCACTTCAGAATTAGTTCTGATGGTTGTTTTAATGTTTTTTTCTTTACTTCAGTTGCTTTGGAATGCTTATATCTACCAGATTCAGTTCTGTTGCACTTATTTTTATTTTTGCATGCTTGCTGCCCAGTTTGAATTTTTTTGGCCATGACTTTTTGGCTCTTCCAAGACACACTGGCTTGGAGTTTTAGCTTAACAACTTGATTTTTTTTATAAGATGCTTTCATAGATTGGCTGTAATTTACCATAATGATTCTGTAAAAGCACTGCAATTTTTTTTCTTTTGTTGCTCTTCTCTGCTGCATATTGAACAAGTAGTAACTAAAATGCTCCAAATAATTAGTATTTTCTATAATTTAAAAAAAAAAAAAAAACATACTCAAAATTTTGCTGGAATTCAAAGGATAGGGTTGGCAAAATGTATGAAAAAAATATGCCCCCTTTCTCTTTTACTGCAGGCATTGGAGACTTCTTTAAAAGTATGTGATAATTGAGATGGAAATTTGGACAAAATTTCTGTTTAAATTACTCATACTTAAGAAAGTACAAAGTTCTGCCGGAGAGGTTCTGGTTTTATATATTGCAAAGTTTACATTTTGAAGAATTATGATTCTAAATTAATCTATATCTGTGGCCATCAGTGGAAGAAAAATGCAAAAACAAATTTGAAGCAGTAGGTCAAATGAGTTGTACAGTAATTATTTTTACATGAATTTACTTAAAGTACCAGTAGTGGATTGAATCTGAAATTATTACGTCCATTGAGGATGTTATGCTTTTGGCTTTTGTTGGTTTTTATTAGAGGTTAATGTTCAGCCAATAATTTCTGGATTAATTTTGGTGAATTGTTCAGGATAGGTTAGAAATTGGCAAACTAAAAAGCAGTTTTTGTTTCTTTTTTTTTATTTTTTGGTGATCTGTTAATTGATTTATTGATGATAATTCAGCTGCCTATGCTTGTGCTCTCTGAGTGCTTTTTTTTTTACTATTAGTCTAGTAAGGTTAATAATAAACAAGAGAGTCATCAAGCATAAATTTGACAAATAGCATTGGTACATTTCTTCTCCCACTTGTTGTTTACTTAATTATCTCACTTAGTATGCCTTATCTTTGTTTTAACCCTCTTATGTAGGTCCTTGAGAAAAGACAAAAGAAAAAAGATTTGAGCCTTAAAGAAAGGTTAATATAGTAACTTATATCTTTGAATTTTAGGCATCTGGAGATATGGGACAGCGCGAGGAGGTAGCACAACAAGCAGGACGTCTCCTTTACCATGGCTCAGCACCATGCAATTATAACAGGTAAAAGGGTGACATAGGGACAAGGTGGATGGAAACGTGTGTGTGTGTGTGTGTGTGTGTGTGTGTGTGTGTGTGTTTTAGAGAGAAAGAGAATGGCAAGTACATTTGTGTGCGTGACAGAGACAGGATAAAGAGAAGAGAATTTTGTGTATGTGTGTCAGAGAGAAAGAAAATGGCAAGTACGTTTATGTGCATGACAGGCAGAGGATAAAGAGAAGAGAGATTTTTGTTGTGTGTGTGTGTGCATGTGTGTCCATGCCAGTGAGAGAGAGAGGGAGAGAGAAAGAGAAGATGCCTTTGTATGTTTGTGCATTCACGTGCATGTGTGTGTCAGAGAGAGATCTATAAAGTCAAAGAGAGGATTGCAAGTATATTAATTAGTGTTTTAAACGACATCAGTCAAACTTCTTAAATTTCAGACCCAGCTCTTATTCTAACGGTGGTACTGCACCAATATATGGCTCCACAACATTATCATCATCAGTGGCCTACGAGACCAATCCCTGTCCATGTTGTAAACCTATGTCCACAAGTCGGAGGGCGTTTTGTATCATGGTCACTTTTGATGTCTTGTTGCTGTTTGTGCTGTGGATTTTATATACTCAGGTGAGTGTCTGATGTCTTGCCATGAACCCAGTGTAATGATAATTTAAGCGCAGACCTCTGCCAAGGCAGCAATTTTTTATAATTATTGATTATTGATTGATTATTGATCTGGATCACCACCAAAACCTTATCATCTGTTCCTTGGTCCACTTCTGACAGTTCCTGAAAATTTCATCAAAATCGGTCCATAACTTTTTGAGTTATGTTGATGACAGACAGACAAACAGGGGTGAAAACAACCTCCTTGGCGGAGGTAAAAATATGAATTAATGAACTGCATTACTACACTCTGCTGGGAGAGCTCATAAAGTGGCGCCATCTAGTACAGGGGCGGATCCAGATATATTTTCTGACAGTCTTCCAAATTATCTTCATCGATCCAACCTCATTTTTGACCGTCTTCCGACAGAAAAATTAGATGTACCCGTCTATGTAAACTTGAAAATCTGACCGTCTTCTAGAAGACCAAGAAGACAGCCTAAATCTGCCCCTGTAGTAATAGTGTATGTGTGTGTGTGTGTGTACACCAACCTTCTCTGTTTATGCACAGAATGCATGCATGAAAGTTTTCAGGACTATGCCTGATTTCAGGATTTTCAGTCTTCATTTTTTTTTTTTTTTTTTTTTNTTATTGATTGATTATTGATCTGGATCACCACCAAAACCTAATCATCTGTTCCTTGGCCCACTTCTGACAGTTCCTGAAAATTTCATCAAAATCGGTCCATAACTTTTTGAGTTATGTTGATGACAGACAGACAAACAGGGGTGAAAACATAACCTCCTTGGCGGAGGTAAAATATGAATTAATGAATTGCATGACTACACTCTGCAGGGAGAGCTCATAAAGCGGCGCCATCTAGTACAGGGGCGGATCCAGATATATTTTCTGACAGTCTTCCAAATTATCTTCATCGATCCAACCTCATTTTAATTTGACTGTCTTCCGACAGAAAAATTAGATACCCGTCTATTATGTAAACTTGAAAATCTGACCGTCTTCTGGAAGACCAAGAAGACGGTCTTAATCTGCCCCTGTAGTAATAGTGTATGTGTGTGTGTACACCAACCTTCTCTGTTAATGCACAGAATGCATGCATGAAAGTTTTCAGGACTATGCCTAATTTCAGAATTTTCAGTCTTCATTTTTTTTTTTTTTTTATGGCCTAAATGTGATGAGAAATTGCAAGCTACGTTTTCAGGATGATCAGTTTTCACATATTTCACCCATGAGAGCGACATTTGTTTCATTATCTTTGATGCTTTCAGCTGTCTACATATGCAGGGACTTTTTCAAAGCGTTTTATGAAAGAAGTGGAGGGATATGATTTTAAGCAGTCATTATTTGACATTCCTGTAAGTAAAAATGCTTGAATACATGTTACATAATAAAAGTAACAAGTTAGCTTAAAGCATTACTTTATTTTTATTATTATTATTATTATTATTATTTTATTTTTATTTTTTTTTTTTGCTTTTTCTGTAAAAAAATGTGAGATGCAATCTAAATACAGTTTTAACAGGTAATTTGTATTTTTGTCTTGCAGTTGTTATCGTTTTGGCGTTTTCTAGTCCTCATCTTTTCATATGCTGCACTGAATATGAGAAACCCATGGCTGGTGGCAGTAAGTCTTTATTTTGTATGATTAGAAAATATTGTCTTTAGCTATTTTTCTTCATTTCTCTCTGTTAGTAATTCACTTCTTGCTTATTTCCTTCATCTCTCTCTCTCTTATTTCTTCAACTTCTGTACAGTCCTCTTTTGTAGTGGAAAGGATTTTTCTTCATTTAGCCTTGTCTTTATTATTGGTAAATTTGTCATTTAAAACTGTCGGGGTATTTGAAGGTGAAATGATTGGGAAAAATGTTATTATAAGTGATAGGGAAACTGCACAGGGACAACAGAGAACAACACTAGTAAAATTTTTGAAATAATTATTTCTTTGTATTTTTTAATTAAAAATTTGAAAAAAAAGTTAGTCCAAATTACCATTTTCATTCAATCATCAATATGGATTTACCATTGTTGTTAGGTTGAGCTTGACATATGCATAAACACAAGATTAGAAGAAATATCATTCAATTTTTATTACAGTTTATATTTATAATTGTTTGTTTTTACATTTCAGTTAACAACATTTGGCACCTGTGTATTTCTGCTGATAAAAGTGTTCATGTTCAATGTGAGACTCCTACAATTCATAATAAAATAAACTTTTGCTGTAGATTCTTTCTGTCTGAAATTGGTGCTCATTTTAAATTCCGTAAAGTAATATGATTTTTGATATATATTATTTTCATTACCTATTATGTCTGTTCAAGTTTAATGAGGACCTAGCCAGCCTTTACAGTTTATAATAAAATAAAATTTTGTTGTCGATAATTATTTCTGTCTGAAATCAGTACTCATTTTAATTACTGTTTAGTAGTGTAATATGATTTATTATAAAATTTTTCATTACTTATTATGATTTTTTTATACAAATTTTTTTCACTACTTAGTTTGATTTTTTAATATGAAATTTATCATTACTTAATTTGATTTTTTAATGTAAAATTTTTCATTACTTATCATGATTTTTTTTTAATATAATTTTTTTCATAACTTATTATGTCTGTTCCAGTTTGATGAAGATCTAGCCAGTGGACAGAACACACTAGACTACGTTCTTATCATAATTTCCTTTGTGGTGGCCTGGGTAGAATGCTGGTTTCTGGACTTCAGGGTTTTACCTGAGGAAAAGCGAGGTTCGTGACCTGAAGTTGATTCTCTGAAGGAAAACCATTGTAGTTGTTTGCTGTTGATATTTTGTATAGTAAGATTAGAAGTTCATAGTGTGCAATCTGATTTTGTGACCTTAAGTTGATTCTGTGAAGAAAAATGAAAGTAGTTTGCTGTAGATATTTTGTATGGTAAGATTAGAAGTTCATAGCATGCAATCTGATTTTGTGACCTTAAGTTGATTCTGTGAAGAAAAATGAAAGTAGTTTGCTGTAGATATTTTGTATGGTAAGATTAGAAGTTCACAGCATGCAGTCTGATTGCAGTAGCTGTTCAATCCAGCACCTTTCCAAAATTGACTGTGGATGTTGACAGTCCCCCCCCCCCCCCCCAATCCCCACCCCATATCAGATGTGTTATCATAATCATAAATTTGCTTAACTGTGTTAACTGTGTTTAATTCTAGCTGAGATTGAAGCGAGAGGTGCTGTACTAGATGAGAGAACGTCTCTCCTGGGTCGTGGCGACCACAGAAGTATAGGTGGCACTGAAACTAATGACCAGTACTATTCTCCATATCATACCCCCCATGGTGAGTGACTTTATTGTGGCTGTGACTGAAAAATTGACATCATATAGGACTTAAATTCAGGGAAGAGATTTTTCCGACTTTTAAGCAGTCAAAAATATCATTGATCTAGGCGTTTCCCTTGACCCCATGCCATATTTTCTGCCATTTTCACTGAATGACAGTCTCATCCCTGTAAATAGAATTTATCCGTATAATGACTATGGGACATAATTACTGGGAATTTTCAAAAACCTGACATTTGCTAATATTTCACTTTTTGAATATTTAATATCACTTTCAGACACAACAGCCAACCAACTTAAAAAATCTTTGGAGTCAATGTTTTTAAGTTTACTTACCAAACAAATTTTGTGAAGGGAAACAATTGATGCTGTCCAAATAAACTGAATTATTACCACTTTCTGGATATTGGTGTGGGTGCTTGAATTCTGTAGAAATCTGTATAGATCTGACAGAGTAAATGGAAACAATTGTTATTTGAATCCATTACAACAGGGTATTAAGGCATCTAGTGACAAGTGCACATAGGTTTGTTGATGACCCGTCCAGCCCCTGGCTGTCTGCAGACATCTTTTGTTTTTTCAGTGAAAAATAAATACTAGTATGGATATCATAATTAATTCACTGATATTTTTCACAGCAATTTTAACTGGCTTTGAATTATTACTTATTAATTTGCTTTGATTTATTTTGATTGATTAATAAGTAAAATTATTTTATTTATTTAATCTATTTATTTTACTTTCAGATTCAGATGATGAAGAAGGCAGTAAAAGGTACCATTCAATACCACCTTCATCGGTCAACAGCAGAGCTTCAAGTAGAAATTCAAACCAGCTTTCGTTAGGATCACAGGTAGTTTAAGTTTGAGTTCTTACCCGAACAGCTTAAACTGTAAATGGCGTATCTTGTGTCAGAAGGCAAACTTATAAAGTTATACTCATAAAGACCAAACTGTTGACAATATTTGAAATTTGGGAATATACAGACTGAGACTTTTTTGGAGGGCGGGCTGGGGGAAATCACACAATTCTGCAATTTTTCATTCAGTTCTGGGAACTGAGCCAACGATTACTAAGTGTTTTGTCCCACACTAAATGATCAGTTATTTTTTCAGAACCCAGACTGTTGTCTGAAAAAAGGTCATAGAGAAAGAAATGTTCATGATTTATGATTTTAGCTTGTTGTACTGGGCAAATGAACAATAACAAGTTAACAGATTAAAAATTACCATTTTAATTCATTGTAAAAGTGTTTATCAAGTATATTACATTTTGAGATCAATGTTAATGTATAAGAAAGGTTTATAATTTTACTCCTTTTTTTCTCCACCAGGAACAAGAGTACCAGAGATTAGCTGGAGGCCTTTTTGCCACGGCGATGCAGTTATACGAGAATGAGGAAGGATGGAAGCTGGATAATGGAGATGAGAAGGACCTTTCCTCGGGTTGTGTCTACAGTAAACAACTTCCCGAATTGGGAGGAAAATTTTTCAAGCTCAAAGTAAGGGATACAGTTGACTGACTTTAAATAACTGATCTGAAGTAAAAATTGCCCTTTCAGAAAATCTTCTTTTCTAGAAAAAATATGTACTATACAGTGGATGTCAGATATGTAGATTTTTTGTACACTTTATAAAATTATACAGATATTTGTCAAGAAAACCCTCTGTTTGTTTTAAAATTTAAGTTTCATCTTTGTTTCACATGGGGTTTGAATAAAAACATTCACAGTGTTTTGTGTACAACTGGATATGAAGATAAATAGTTGATTCTTAAAAAACAACTACTACAGGTGTAAATCTTTTGGTAATAATAATAATAATAATATTGATATTTAATTTACATTACAGTAAAAATAACACAAACTAAAAATGAATAAAAAGCAAAAATTGATTTTAAGAAATCGATTTAAATAGTATAGAATTAGAAACTGCCTATTTGTACAAGTCATAATAAAGTTCAGTCAGTTTTTGTGGTGGAGGTCTTGATTTGTCAGCTTTCTGAACTGAAGAAATGACAAATGAAAGTGAACATAATATTTCATATGTTTTGTTCTAGGGTGTAGTTAATACCACTCCACAGAAAGGTTTTGAAGAAATATATTTTAACACAGAAGATTCACCTGCGTGGAATCCAACAGTTTTGGAAAGCAAGGTGAGTAAAATAAAATAAATTTATCTGTCTTGTCAACTTTGGATATGAATTGGGATGTTTTTTTTACCTTTGTGGATGTTGATGAAGATGACAACTCAATTGCCTCAAATATTGCATTATTCTCTGTTAAATTCCATGTTCTTGTCTGCGTTCACTGATAATAATAATACTTTGTTTAGGTAAATTAATGAAAAAAAACACGTGAAAAATTTTATGTTAGGTAAGAGCTATTGAAATTATAAAAACTGAAATCAGTAATGCACATTAAATCTCTGAGTTAAAATTAATACTTGAAACTGCTGGCAAGAGGAAAATCATGAAAAATCTGTTCATTTAAAAAGGGATTTTAATTTTTTTTACATTTTTAAGTGTTAATCACCACATCTGAGACATGAACATTTTTCTGTGTGATTACAGAATTCCAAAATTTTTATTTTACATTATGGTCATTCCAAAAATCCATCAAGATAAAGTTTTTGGTTTCACTGGAAATGTTCAGAAAGGTTTTTATTTTAACTGAGGCTCATGTCTGATAATTTGACTCTGACTCAATCTCTTTTTCTCCCCAGATTCTGCAGGTAATAGACGAGCACACAGATGTGTTGTATAATATAGCTGCCGAGGCAGCTGGGGGCATGGTGTCGGCCAGGGACTTTGTCAACTTACGATGTTGGAAAGAGGTGAACGGCATGATGATTTCAGTCTCCAAAGGGGTGACCCACCCAGACATGCCAGAGCAGAAAAAATACGTAAGGTGAGAGGTTGAATTTTTTTTTTTTTTTTTTTTTTTTTTTACACAGTTGTGTACTTCTTGAGACTCTTTGCATTGAGATCTATTCATTGAGATCTATTGGGACAGGGGTAAAAAAGATGGTAAGGGGTATATTTGTTTTAAATTTGAAACAATTGTCCTGTGTGTATTTTTCAGAGGTGAAAATGGTCCAGGGTGCTGGGTGTTCAAAGCAGTCCCTGGGGACCCAAATAAAAGTGAATTTGTCTGGATAGTTAATACAAATCTCAAGGTAAGCTTGCCATTAGGGGTTTTAAAAAGAAATATATATATGTGTTTTTTTAACTCTCCAACTCTCTCTCTCTCTCTTACTGTTTTTGTATGTGCATGTGTGCATATGTTTATCTATCTCTAATAATGTGTATATTTGTCTCTTTATGGGGGTATGTGAGTATTGGTGTCAGACTGTGTGTACTAGTATGTGTGTGGTGTGCTTGCTTGCACATTTATGCACATATCTTCAACTTCCCACATGCCTGTCTGTCGTCTGAATTATTTTGATAATTCAGAATGAATTAAAATTAATTAACTTTCTGATGTGATTATGACTTACAATAAGTCAGTTTTATATTGTGCTCAATTTTGTACCTTCCAGGGTTGGTTACCTACCTACTTAATAGACCAGGCCATGTCAGGGGTCCTTATGGATTTCTTTAAGTACTTCAATCAACGGATTAACTATCTGAACACGCTAGAATCATAGCATATATATATTTTTATTGGTAAGAATGCATTATTATTATTATTATTTTATGATTCAACATTTGTTATGGAATTCACTTGTCATAGAGTTAGGCCAATGAGTAACTAAAACTAGTAGTTGAATGTGATAAATAAATTGAGCCAATTTAAGGGAAAAAGTAACAGTTACTATGGGGCACCTAGGTCTGTTGTTTACTCATTTAATTTATAGTGTCACATTACAGTAATTGTTTTAATTTTTCATTAATTAGTCCAGAGGCTTGTTCCACAAAAATTGTACAGTTTTTGGACTCATGGTAGCCCAGGATATATAGTCAGATGAAGCTTTTAAGAATGACAAGCCTACAATGAATGTGTTTAACATACCTAAATGGGCCCTGGTAAACAATGACAGTGTAAAAACCTTATTTGAAACAGTCACAATTTGCTCAAAAATTCCAGTTAACAGATGGAAAAAATGAGATAATGAGTAGTTTTGTAAAAGCTTTGTATAATGCAACTTAGTCGACTAAGTCTCAGAGTCTAAGTCTCAGAGTCTGGGGAGTTGTCTAGTACTTGTAACCTTGAGAAGATGGCACTAGTATAATCTCTTATGTGGCAGATATCATCATGAAAATATATAATTGAAAAGCAATTTAACAACAGTCAATGAAACTGTCATTCTATAGGCGAATAAGATTATATACCTAATTTCTGCAGTTGAGTGACTTCATTAATCTAGAGTTTGTTTTATTTTTCAGGACTGCTTTCACAGTGCTGCAAGGACTAGCTCATGAAAGTCAAGAAAATCTTTGAAGAGTTGATATATGTATATTTTATCAATATTTCTGTTTCAAATTTCTATCTTCAATCATGGTCATTTTTTAAGTAGTTGAACTGTATATTTAAAGTGAAATTGTCAAAGGTGACAGATGTTGCTCACTCATATTATTTTCTTTTCTTTGCTATGTTCACTGTGGTATAACTACATGAAAGCAGAGCCAACTAATCCGCTGCTGGTCTCCCTGCCGTCGCACACCCCATTAAACAGATTTAATCAAGGCTCTGAGGTTTAATTGCTAGACCTCTGCAGGGACAGCGCGTGTGGAGGCAGGGAGAACATCAGTGGATTAGTCACCTCTGCTTTCATGTAGGGAACGCCATATTTAATCCGAAGATCATCTACTGTGAATCCCCTCTAAATTCAGATCTTTTTGACACCACACACACTTATGCCGGATGTTCAGCCTCAGGCTTTTTTTATTAATTTGGTGTAAGTAAAAAAGCAAGACAGACAACTGAAAGCTGGCTTTATCATGGTTTTATTTGGCCATAACAGTTTGATGAGGAATTGAATAAAACCACTGGTAAAAGGGAATTCATTTGTAGTATCCACTGTTTTGTTAATCTGCTGGTCGAGAGGGATATTGCAATACTATTGGACAATTTTACAATAGCCAACTATAAGAGTTGCGGCATAATTATAATATGCAGTGTCCTCTGTGATACCTTGCCTGGTAGCTCTTTTTCTTAATTATTAATTTTTTAAATATTTTTTCAATTGATTGCAAAGGAAACAGTTCATTTTATTTTTTATAATCACACTATGCCAGTTGAGTGCCTTGAATTGACTTTTTGAAATTGCAACTTTAAAGTTTCTCTTGTTTCAAATGTAATTGATTTTTATCTTTCATGATGAAGATAGCTTTTATGATGACTAAGTTCACGTTTTAAACAAAGACAAGTCAGTTTGCAAGAGGAAACTTTGCTTGTTGATCACTAATTTTCTATATTCATACAGAGTGCATTTTAAAGATATTTTAATGAGGCATCTGAATATGAATTGTTTATCATTTAGAATAGTGTGTTGTAATGTAATGTATTTTTAAATTATTAAAATCATGTTTGTGATGATGTGCATTTGGGAACAAAAAAGAGCAGTTTGTAAAATAAGTGATATTATGTGATGAAAATAACTTGGAATGGTGTAAAAAAAAAAAACTTATGGCAAAAATGTGATAAAAATCTTTCTGACACCAATTTGTTTATAGAGTTTGGTATAGCTTTCATCAAGTGTTCAATGATCAAATCAGTTTACATAAGAAATCCACAGTTTGATAGACTTATACTCATTCATAGTACGGTATTCTCCATTTTATTCAAGATTTGTAATGATCTATAATATAAAGGAGTTTCAAAGAGAGCATGTAGGCTTCATTGTGCTCAAGACTTGTTAATTCTACATATCTTTTCATATGTAGTAGTTTTCATTTTCAACAGTTTTATTGCTATCATGTCTCAATAAAGATTGATCTGTATGAAAGACATTTTTGGATTTACTACTTTTTTTATTCATCTTCACATCTTCTAATTTGTTACTTACTGTACGTAGACTCACCAGAATGATTCTTAGGACTAAAATACAGCTTGAGGTGGAAAATCGAGCCTGATTAGTTTGTTTTTCATGTTTGGCTTTAAAATCTCATGCACCTAAAGCCCTATTGACATATTCTGATTGTCCATGTTAACTCGTGTGCAGTTTGTCTTTTAATGTTGAATCAAGTTGGCAAAACCTATTTTGTGCATCGTTTTTTTTTCCTATCTGTACATTTACGGGTTTGCTGTCTCGTTATTCCCATTGAAACTGGGAATCAATGGACCTATCTTAAGAGAACTGCATAGGGCCTTTGGATATTTATAAAATGGGCCTATACGTGTAAGCGGGGG